TGGCCACGGTCCTCCTGGTGAAGCGGTGGAAGTTCGCCGACTCCACCCTGCTCCTCATCTCCCTCTGCTCCTCCTTCGGCGCCCAGCTCGCCCTGGGCACCTTCTACACGCCCACCGCCTACGTCGCCTCCCTGGTCATCGGATCGCTGTCCGGCTTTGCGCCGATCACCATTCGAAATCGCCTCAGTCGCCTCGTCCAGCCGGAAGAGCTGGGGAAGATCTTCGCCCTTGGCCAGAGCATCGAGTCGTTGATGCCCTTCTTTGGGTCGCTCCTCTTTAGCAGCCTCTTCTCCCTCACCATTGGCAGCTACCCGGGCACTATTTACCACTTTAGCGCCGGCATTGTCCTCCTCTCTGTTTGTCTCTTTGTTTTTGAGCGGTTGTGGTGTAAGAAGGAGGAGGATGAGTGATTTGTAGTAAACGGTTTTGTTAGTTTATTTTACAAAAAAGGGTCGATTCTTTTTTGTTTATTTATCATTTTGTGTCCAGTAACCACAACAGACGTTTTCAAAGTGAAAGGCAACCAAAAGGAAAGAGACTAAAGTCGGAAACAGCAGCAAAAACCAAAAATAAAAAGGCAAAGAAACGGGGGCGGTGGAGGAGGGAGAAAGTGGCCACAGGTACAGGCCATGTCGAAGGCCGTCGCGAATGTGGTGCGTCAGCGAGGCGACCAGAAAGTGCAGCCACAGCAGGTGAAGGTGAAGGTGAAGGTGCTCTTTTCTACAAAAACTAAATTGACATGAAAAAAAGTGAAAGATGACAAATGCAGCAGCGGAAATCAGCACCACCAGAGGCGTGTTGTGCATCACCGGCCGCCGCTCCAGCGAGGCCATGGCGGCGATGTTCAGACTGCCCGCGGCAAAAATGTGGTCCACGTCAATCAGGGCGGCCAGCAGAAAGCAGGTGAGTAGGTCCTTGAGCACTGGAAGGACGTTGAGGTGCTGAAGGAAGGGGAAAAGATTGGTGGAGGTTATCTTTGGCGATTGTTGATCATCACAGTTTGCAGCTAAAACTACTGCCGCCATTGCCCAGCTGCAGCTGCTGATCAGCCCGTGAATGGCCGTGTCGGAGAGGGCAATCACTAGGTGCAACAGAGTACTCTGTACTGGCAGCAGGCGAAGGAGGTGGTCGCCCAGCAGGGAAACCAGGACGATGAGCAGGTAGAGGAGAAGGTAAAGTGAGAGCAGCGGAAGAGCGACGAGGGTGAACATTTTTTACCAGCCTGGGAAACCTGGACCAGATTACCTGGTGTTTGGCAAACACTGTTTGCTGGTGAGTGATGGTTTTGAGAGTTTAGAACTTTTTAATGTGTGTTTAGTGTCATAAAGAGTTACAGAAAGAAGGTTAACAAAGTACAACAATAACAAAAAAAATGATTTGATGCTGTTGTAGGGGCTGGGGTCCCAGCCACTACACTGTTTTATTTGTTTTACTATATTGGCGTACGTAAATTGAAAAAGCAGTTCAAACATTTCTGATGTAAAATCTATTTTAACAATTATTTTAAAAAATTTTATTATAAAAATTAAATTTTTTTAAGAAACTTATTTGTTGCATGTTTTAAAAAATCAATTGTTATTCTTTGGAAAACGAAGTTACATTGTTAAAATAATTTGCAATAGCTTCAGAAATTTCCAATTTTAAATCGGCATACGAATTGCGACTATTTTTTAACTTTTTCCACCCTTCACTTTTCAAAACTTCTTTTGAGTTACTTGTAATATAATCAAGGCAACTGGATTTAATCCGCACAAAATTGTATTGATCGGCTATAATTAAATGTTCTACAACTGAATGAGTAGATATTTTACTTATGATAAAATTTGTGCAATTAGATTTCAACTCAGAAATTTGATACTAAAAAAATTATTAGTGTAGTTTATAGAACAAATATTTAAGTTAAATATCTTACTTTATCTGCTGCAATCAATAGTTCCATAGCATATTCTTCCATCTGATTAACATGATTAGTATAAATAAACTGAAGTACTTCTTTGAAAACTTCAACAGAGATATCCGAAATAGTCACTTTATTTTCTTTGCTTTCTTTGCATTCGTTACTGAACATGGCAGCAAAAACTGGCGATCGAGCGCAAATAATTGTTTTATGCGCACGTAGCACTTTATTATTAATTGTAAAAACCATATCGCTTAACTTGCCACTATTCAGTATAGATTGAAAATCAACTGCCATGCTGCTTTTAAATTGATAAACTTTTTCAATTTCACAAATCTAAAAATTTGTAACAATTTTAAAAACTTTTCAACAGCATTTAACTTTAAAATAAACCTCTAAATAAAATTCAGTTTTTTGCGATCCAATATTAAAATTACTGCCGTAAATATTTTTTAAATTTTCTTGTAATACACTGTACTCAATGTAATTTGCTGAAAAAGCATGATTGTTAGAATCTAAACAAAATTTGTATTCTAACAATCAAAATTTGTTAATGGGTTGAATATAATAATTGAGTAACGCAAACCTTTAGTGAAAAGTTTAATGTTATTTTCATTAAGAAAAGAAATTTTAAAAAGAATGCTGTTTGATACTATAAAAAACTTGTATAAATAAAACATTTTTTGAAAAAAACTTTACATTTACTTTCATTTTTATTTTCATTTTGTTGATTAACTATTTGCCCATATCTATTTTGAACACTAAATTGTTGATTGGAAATATTTATTACATTTTTTTTCAATTGAAAAAATACTTCTCCAAAAAATAAATCATCATAAAAATTATTGTGAAGAAATTTAACCATTGAAAAAGTAAATTGTTCATTTTTAAATAAAATCTCAGGTTGAAATGTAACTTTTTTGCCTGAAGAAAGACCATGTAATAATTTATTTGTTGACACAACTTTATTTGTTGTATTTATAACATTGTATTGATGTTTTTCAGAAATTTTTTTATAAGAATCCATATTAAATCAGTTTACAAATTGAACAACTTTTAAGTTATTTATTTTGATGATGCATCAACGCAAAAACTTGATTCTTTAAATTGTTGCATCAATAATACGGCATATTTTTTTGAAATGCATAAAGGGCGTTTATAAATCGGATTTTTTGTTAATAAACTTGTGTATAAAGTAAATTACCAAAATGAGTATCCATAGTAATAAAAGATATAAATGAACTAATTTTACGTTGTGTGACTTTATGTTGTCTTGTTGATGCATTTTTTAATTTTGACTGTGAAATGATAACTAAAATACTTTGTTTTAACATTGTTTTTTTTAAATATAATATTTTTGTTGCTAACGTAGAACAAAAAAACATTACTACTTTTGTAAATTGATTACTATTTTTGCTCAAATAAATTTTAACATGTGTGTTGGAAGGGTTAACTATCAAACTGCTTTCTAGTTGTTTGTTTTAACTTAGGTTTACTGTTTAAATTTTTATCTTACTAAACATTAAAATTAAAAAAATAATAGTTTTGTAAAAATAACAACATTTTTTAGTAAATGGATTAAATAAATAATGAGTTTATAACAAAAATAAAAATAAAGCATTTAAAAATGCAAAACAGCAATTAAAATTGAACTTGTTTTAGTAAATTAATGGCACTAATTTTTAACTTGTGCTGCATTAGTTTTTTAAAATGCTCTAAACAGAAGTTAATTGTCGATCAATATTACAAGGCATGCCTGAGAAAATTAGTTACTTGTTTCTCCTTAGTCACTTTTTTTTCTGAAACTATAAACACTCATTTGCAAAAAAACTTGACTCAAAATCTAGTCAACATTGCAAAAGAATTTTCAAAAACTAAACCTCAATGGAGCTGCTAACCTTCCTTCCCCGTCGACTGTGGAACGTCTCCCCAGCGCTGATCACCAACATGATCCAGCGGTGCAGCCACAACAACCTGGTTCAAGATCCAAAAAAGCACCCCCTAGGTCCAGCTGAGCTCAAAGCTCAAAACCGGTGGCCATTGTGGCGCCTGCTCTTCTACGCCTACCTCGCCTTTGCGGTAGTTCGCTTCTGGGCGGCCTCGGTGGTGCTGCAAACGGGCCAGTACCTGGAGCTGCACCAGTACGACGTGCTGATGAGCATCGGCATCAGCATGAAGCTAATCAATTTCAACACCGGCATCTTCGTCTCGCCCCTCACACTCTTCATCATCCACTTTGACTACACCGTCTACGTGAAGCGCTTCAACAACGTCCTCCGCCTGTGCCACGAGCTTCTGGTCATCAACTCACAGAACTTCTTCGCCCTGAATCCGCACTTCCGGCCGCAGGCCCTCTCAATGAGAGAGCCGATCAAGTCGCTAAAGGCAAACCTTCGCATTCTCTACTGGTTCTACCAGCCACCGCCTGGTGGGAGTATTCAGTGGAACACCGCCCGACTGGAGTACTTTCCCTTTCTCAGCGAGACGATACGCGTCCGATCGTTGATGGTCAACTGGTTCTTTCAGCTCTTCATCAGCATCTTTCTCTTCTGTACTGGTAAGTGAAAAGGTTTCTTTTTGTAAACAAACTCCTAGAAAAAAATACTTCTCGTTTTCAACAGTTTTAGTCCTTCTCACGGGCGGCTACTACTACCACACCTTCTTCCTGCTTCCGAACGTCACCACCCGGATCCGGTACCTGATCGGCCTCACTGACCTGATCATCATCTGCTGTACGGCCTTTCACATCATCAAGCTGGTGCTCTTTCT